TACACTATTGGTAAGTTTTTCTTCTCCCTGAGTTTTTTCTAACTGCAATCACCTATTAGTTTTTGCTCCTGTTTCCGTTTCATCCTCTAACAAAACCCTACTCATTTATCGATTTTGTGAAAATCTGACTAAGAGAAAAGTTAGTCTGGCAGAATGATCAGATTTATAAAATTCTTTGTTTTTTTTTTCCAGATTGACATGAACTCAGACGAAAAAGATACACTAATTACTCAAACTATTGAAACTGAAGATGAGGACAGCGATTCACCTCTCCTGGATAGCGTTGATGCGTCGAGAAAAATAACCCAGTTGGTTGAAATCGAATTTTGCGAATATCAAATTCGATTGAAAGATTCAAAGCAAGTGTTTTTGTTGCTTCTGTTGAGTATTTGCCTCACAACTTTCGCGCAATGGTCAATCTTAGCAAATCTTTTTCTTTTCCTCAACATGGATCCATTACACTGGGATTCTGATCATGCGAATACCTTATTTTTTGTTTTCGGCTGCTTTTGTTGTGTATTCGCTGTTTTGTCTGGCTGGTTATCTGACAATCGATATTCGCAGTACAGCGTTATTCTAATGGGTCATATTCCATACTTAATTGGGTTATGTCTTTTCACGCTTTTGGGTTATGCCCAAAATACTTTCATCAATAACATCGAAAAATATGATATGGATACGAATTTTACCCTCCTGGAAACACTTTGTGTAGTCAGTAATACTAAAAACTCTTCGCTTTTCCTGAAAGAGCAAGCCTCTAATTGTGAATATTTTGTCTACTCTGCTCTTCTTATTCTGGCTGCTGGAATTGGAACTCTCAATGTTAATATACCACTGTTCCTGCTCGCACAGGTTTGTTTTGCAAATGATCGAATCTTAAGACTTCGAAGTTGTCAAGGAGGCACTGATCAATAGTGATCAAATATGGGTCTTTTACAACAGGTTTAACAATATTTTGGGGTCGATTTTGAAAGTTATTGTTAAATAGGATTTCAATATTTCGGTTCCTGATATAATTATCTCGTGTTTTTTACCCCTGCGATTGGCAAGACTTTTTTACCGTAAATAACTTTGTTCACAGGATGACTGAAATTGGTTGTTATTTCCATCTGTATTTGTTGTCAACGCACGGAAAATTTTTGAGCATGCCAGCATTTTAACTGCCCGTTCTATTCAAAATTCAGGTTTTATGTTGGTTGTAATTTTTTAAACTCCGATTTCAGTATATCAGTTTTTCTTTCTTTTTTTTTCACTTCATTCGGCTTAAAAGGTTTCGGCTTATAATATATCGGTTTAAAGGCCTGTGCTTAAACGTGTGAGGGCTTTTGCCTCGTTTTGGGTACTGTATTACCAACTTCTATCCTCCTTTATAACTCGAGGATTGCACATGCGTCTAGTTGATATGAGTGGTCTTCGTGATAGTTTCACGCTGGCCGCATCATGGCGTAGTTTATTCACGTATTTGCCGTTGCTGGCGCTAATTTTACTGGCTGAACTACTTTTTCTGGCAATGAAAGGCTGATTTGGATTTTTGTAATTCTTTGCATATCAATGAAAAATGAGGCTGTTTTAAAATTTTCTTTTATCGATTTGGCAAAATTATTTGTTCCTAATTTTACTGGCTGAACTACTTTTTCTACTGGTAATGAAAGGCTGATTGGGATTTATTTCGTAATTCTTTGCATATCGTTGAAATATGTGGCTATGTTTTAAAATATTCTTATATCCATTTGGCAAAATTATTTGTTCCTTTTTAAAAAATATTTGTATGTTAACTTAAGAAAAAAGTCAAAAAAAGGTTGATCAGCAGCTTTCCGTTCTAATAGTTTTTATTTTACTAAAAATTATGAAATTCAATGCTTATTCAATGCTTATATTATGAAATTCAATTTTTTAAAGAAAAAAGTCAAAAAAAGGTTGATCAGCAGCTTTCCGTTCTAATAGTTTTTATTTTACTAAAAAGTTTTTATTTTACTAAAAATTATGAAATTCAATGCTTATTGAAAATGTTAAGAAATTGTAAACTTTTGATTAATCGTGATAGATCCAGCTTCTCTGCAAATCTATTTTTGGTTAGTTGTAAGGGAAGTCTTCGTTTCATTCCGAACCATGATTTTATCCAATTACCGTGTTAAAACAAGAATAACCGGTTACTGTGCAAGTAGCACAGAATGTTCCGACCACAGTCTTAGAAAAATACAATAATATATATTTTTTTGTCAAATTGGTGTCGTTTTTTCTGCATGTTGTGATAAAAGATACTGATCGGAAAAATAGAACTTAGGCATATTTGAGAGTCATAATAAAAATATGTCAATTCGAAAACAGTTTTCGAAGAAAATTGACTAAAAAAACGACAGAAGTTTTTTGAATTTTCAAGTTCTTGATTTCCAAAATTGCGCGAAAAACTCCAAAAACGACCTTTACTTGAGTAAAACTAAGGTTTCACGGCTTAAATAAGCTATTGTAAGCCTACACGGCTTATCTATTATATATTTAAATGCGGGCTTCACTATCTCATCATGTTTAAGCTTTTTCAACGTATTATTTTGGCATGTTTAATAAATGAATTTTTTTCACGTTTAAGCTATATCGTATATTGCAATGGTTCAGGTTTTCCAATTTTCCAGTTTAAATTCAGGATTTATTCCAACAAGTTTGAAATTAGCAACCCAATAGTTGGATATTGTCAGTTTTCCCAGGTTTTGCGATTCTGGCCTCCATATATGATTAACCAAATCCTTTCAGTTTAGGAGATTCGCAATTTTCGAGGTTTCTCAATTTTTGAAATTCTCGCCCTGTAGTCGGATGCTGTCAGGGTACTCTCAGGGGTTGCGAATCTTGCCTACAATTCTCACTTCTCAAATCCTTGTAGTTTTCAAGATATGACGTTTTTCATGATTTTTTCAAAAAATTTTCAAAAACTAAAAATTCCAAAACGTTGAAGATCTCAATCCTGTTGTTGGATATTGTGAGGGTACTCTCAGGGGTTTCGAATCTTGCTTTTGATTATGGCTGCTCAAGTCCCTGCAGTTTTCTATATATGACGTTTTTTTGGATTTCTTAAAAAGTTTTCAGAAAAACTTAAATGTTAAAAAGTTCCGAAACTTTGAAGATATCAATCCTGTTATTGGAATCTTTGAGGGTATTCTCAGGGGGTTGCGAATCTTGCCTCAGAATAGGGCTGCTCAAACTCTTGTAGTTTTTGAGGTATGACGTTTTTTTTAGGATTTTCTCCAAATTTTTCAGAAAACTTAGGTATAAAAAATTTTCTCAAAACTTGAAATTTTCATCTCTGTAGTGAGGCTTTGTAAGGGTACTCTCAGGAGTTGCGAATTTTGCCTCCCAATTTGAATGCTCAAATCCTTGTAGTTTTCGAGATTTGACGTTTTTTATGATTTTCTCCGAAGTTTTCAAAAAAAAACTTAAAAGTTGTAAAGTTACAAAATTTTGAAGATATCAATCCTGTTATTGGAATCTTTGAGGGTACTCTCAGGGGTTTGCGAATCTTGCCTCTGAATAAGACTGCTATAAATCTTGCAGTTTTTCAGATATGACGATTTGTTTGATTTTTTCAAAAAAATTTTCATGAAAATTAAATTATATATATTTTTTTCAATTTTTGAAATTCCTAACCTGTAGTTGCGGGGCTGTCAGAGTTATCTCAGGGGTTGCAATTTCGGCCTCCAATTAAGAATGCCCAAATCATTTTTGTTTCAGATAAGACGATATTTGTGACTTTTTGGAAGTTTTCAGAAAACTCAAATCACAAAATAATTCGTTTAAGTGAAATTCCCAACCCTGTAGTTGTGTACATTCAAAGATTGCGAATATTGCCATCAAAAAAGACTGCTCAAATTTTGGCAGTTTTCGAAACGTGAATTTTTTTCTGGTTTTCAAAAAACCTCTTTCAGAAAACTTAACGTAAAGTTTCTCAAAATCTGAATTTCCCAATGTTGTAGTTGGGTACTGTAAGGGTACTCTCAGGAGTTGAAAATCTTTCGTCTAAATGCGACTGCTCGATTTCAGTTTCCCAGATGTGACCTTTCTTAATTCATTATTTTAAACTTTGATAAAAAAAATGGTCACAAATTTTTATGGTTTTTCAAAATTTGAATTAAAAAATCGAATGAAAAATGTTACAACGTTTGAAGTTACTCTCAAGAGTTGCAAATCTTGCGTCCAAATGCGACTGCTCAATTGCTTTCAAATTCCTAGATGTGACGTTTCTTAGTTCATTTTAAATTTTTCGAGGAGCAGTTTTTTTGAGTTGTTGAAAATTCGAAGCACCGGAGGTGCGGTACACGCTAGTTAGCTTGAAATTAGACCTAATTAATTAGCTCAAAATTAGAGCAAAAATCAAAAGTTTCATACCGGTTTTTCTCCACACTGAAATTTTTTTGAATTTCGAACCATGACAGAAAGGGCTTTAATATGATATATCACGCAGCCCTGTCTGATGATTTTTTGTGGTAGCTGATTTTGCGAGGAAAACAAAAAGAAATAAAAACTAAAACACACCCGAATGCAAAACTGCTCCCCATTTTCAATGGCCGGAACAAAAAGTTTTATATTTGTCTGTTTTGAAGCTTCGGTGATTAAGAGTCGATGAAAGTTGTATATAGGTCGTGATGAGTTTTTTTTGTTTCTTTTTCAGGAAAAATCTTAAAACGCGGTTTTACTTTCTCTTTTTAGCTGAATTAATTTCCTTGGTTAAAAGGAAAAGAGATCCACTATCGACCAGCTAAAATGATTAGGTTGACTTCTTGTTTCGAATTTTTTTTTCGGATTTCCAACCAAAAAAAGGTACTTATTGATCCAGTTTTCTCAAGTTTAAGATTTTTAATAATAACAAGTCAGTAATTTTTTTGTTTGATTGAGTTTGACTCTTTTCCAACTCTCTGTTGGCTATGTTTGATATTGTTAAAGTGAAGAATTAATTTGCAAAAGATACCATGGCAATGAATTACTATTTATCTTGAGTTTTTGTTTCAGTTTAGTTTTTGAAATGATTGAAATTTGTTCTTAAATATTTTCATGGTCTGTGTAAATGACTCCGAAGTAGAAACTGCCAGCTATTACGTGCTGGCTATTATGAGATTTGAATTCGAAACTAAACGCAGCAAAAAGAAGTTTAAAAGTCACGGCGTTAAAAGGCTAGAGAGATAAATGGCTTGGTTGGTAGCAAAGACATCATGTTAAAAATGGGATTTTTATGAAAAGACCCTTTTTATATTCCTCAATAGCCTTTTCGGATTTTTTTTTTCATTTTGTGATCTCTAATCTTGTTATTGCAACTTTTGCGCCAGTGATGTTTTGTCTGTTTCGTATCGCAAGTTGGCTTATCAAAAAAGTTTGCACTAAATTTCCGAATGATATTGATTTTTAATTTTTAAGTGTGAAGACGCTTTAGTAAATCGCTTTAAGTTTTTTTGTACGATTTTTCGCAGTTGGACTTGATTTTTTTTCGCAGTTGGACTTGATCAGTGTTCAAATCAAATCCAAACTGCCAAATGGCAGGCAAAATTAGGCTCTCCAATAACGAATGTGCAAATGTCGCAAAAATGCGAATGAGTCTTAGTTTCAAAGATGGACCGTAATTCGTAGAAACGCCAGCGGAATCAAAAAATTACTTTTGTATGAAATTTTCTCTAATTGGTCCATAATGTTAAATTTTTGCGTGAGGGTTTATTCTTTTCGAAAGATGAAAAATTAAATTTTTTTTTCGTTTTTTTTGAGCTCCTTGGCATTTCCTGTCTGTTGGCTATGTTTATCACTTGTATAATCGATCTTTTTTTCAGCTGCTGTTACAAAAAGTGTTCTTATCCTTCTTGCTTAGGTGAAACTTCTAAATTTGGAAACACGACGGTTCTTTAATTGGTGGCTATTCAGTCAAATTATGGGTTCTTTATTGTGTACTATTGTCGTGTGCTTCGTCCAACAAAACGTGAATTTTTTCTATGGCTATCTAATTGGACTTGTTGTGATGGTTCTTTCTTTAGTATCATTTCTCATCGGGTCCGGTAAATATGAGAAACCTGAACCGTGCAAGAAAAACTTCTCGAGTTTCTTCCGTGTTCTCAAGTTTGCAATGTCAAGAGTTGCGCGAAGAAGACAAAAAGAAGGTATCAGAAAAATCATTAATCAGGTATTACTGAAATCAGATCTATTCGATGAAGTAAAATAAAATACATTTTTTCAAAAGATCATCTAATTGAAACTCAATTTCTTAAATCTCTCATTCGCATCATTTGAAATCATTATTTCTTTAGGTTATCTCCCAAATCAGAAGATATGTCTAAGAGTAGCTGAATTTTATTGAAATGTTTCTTAAACCCGTTCACTGAAACAATTGAAATACCCCTTGTCGTAAAAATGGAGCCTAATGGAGCATTTTGTGCCAACTATTTGCTCGGTCAGCATCAGCAAACACACAAGATCACTTTGTGAAATCAATAATCAATTATGTTTATGACCGAGAACGAAGAAACTTATGAAACATTCTGGCTTCATAGTTCATGCTCAAAATAAGATCGAAGTGATGTCTAACCGAAATCTGGAAAAAGTGCATGTGTTTTAGCCAAACGAATGGGTCATAGTATGTCGTTGGTAGACCTAGCTATGGAACGGTTTAATGGACCATATCCTGACGCATTGGTGGACGAGGTTCGAATCCTGCTCCGCCTAGTTCCAGTTCAACTCTCTTTCGCCTCATTTTGGGTGCTGTATTACCAACTTCTATCCTCCTTTATAACTCAAGGGTTGCACATGCGTCTCGTTGATATGAGTGGTCTTCGAGATAGCTTCACGCTGCCCGCATCATGGCTTAGTTTGTTCACGTATTTGCCGGTGCTGGTGCTAATCTTACTGGCTGAATTACTCTTTCTCCCGGTGTTAAATAGTTACGGATGGATCCCCCGACTGCTGACGGAAACAAGAATTTTGGTTGGAAACACGTTTGCCTGTAAGTTCAGAGCGATAACAATCAAAAATGTACCCTGTTTATGATAAGGTGCCCCAATGTTAGCATCAATAATGTGGATAACAGGGTACGGTGGAAGTCTTCGCTAATCGGTCGAGAGAGAGAGAGGTATATACGTGGTTTGAATCCCACTGCATGCATCGCTGATTGAATGGATGTTTTAGTTAAAGCATAGACCTTTAATATGAAACTCAAATTAAGAAGTTTGTTAATAGCAATTGCAAGCCAAAGCGGATGATTGGACGAAGAGTAACTCCAAAAGCTGTGGTTAGCTGGAAACAAAATAGCTCTTGATAGCAACATGAAACCAAGACTTCTCAAAACGAAATTAGATGTTATGTAGAAACTTAAGTGAACCATATTTTCGTAGATGCTATAACATAAGTTCGCCCGTAAAGGAAACTAATTTAATATATATATTTTAGTCCTAGCCTTGGTTTCTGCGGGAGTTCTAGAGTATATCCGAATTGACCAGTTTAACAACTGCAGGGACGGCCATCCAAATCAGCCCAGCAGTTGTGTGATATCGCAGTACATAGGTGGAACCACGTATCATGCCACTGATCTCTCCGCTTTCTATCAAGCTCCACAGTACATCTTTATGGGGTTTGGTTAGTTCCTTTTCGATGGCGTTTGTTTTAAATTAGTTATCTTGAAATTGATTTGATAATACTTTTCAGCTCAATTTTTTGCAATCAATGGGTCGCTTGAGTTCTCCTTTGTCGAGGCACCTACAAACATGAAGGGTCTAGTTATGGGTTTGTTCCACTTGTCAAGTGGTTTGGGTGCTCTAATAGCAGCTGCGGTGTCTGAAATAGCCCAGAGGGCCGACTGGTACTGTCATACAGATAGCTACGACTACTGCAACCCGAACTCGGGCAAGATGTATTACTACTTCTGGATTCTCGCTCTGTTACAGCTGGTCGCGATAGTTGTTTTTTATGCTTTGGCTGCTGTGTACAGGGCCTTTAGAGAACGGGGTGAGGTTGGATCGTGGAGATCGCTTTGCTTCTTTTTATGTCGAAGCTAGTATCAAAGTACCGTCACTGTCTTCCGTAGTTTAAAAATGGCCAAATCAATTATTTAAAGATCACACTGTAGATTTGATTGTATTAGATTAGGTTCATAATGGAAGTAGTTGCCTCATCCAATTTGATGATCGTAATATTTTATATGAAATACATGATAGCGAATTAAATGTTTCAGAGATAATTTAATTGCGAATTCGAAGTTGTAATGACGTGAGTGTTCTAAAAAAAAATTGACACTTTCAGTTATAATGGATACTTTAGACGACTCTTTGCAGTACAACTTAACCGAACAGTCTGGCTCGCAGAGCAGTGAAGAAGACGAAGATACGCGTTCAGTTTCGAGTGGTGAGAGTTTCGAAGCCATTCCCGACACAGAAGGAGACGATGATGAAAATGAAAACCAATTTATTCCAACCCAACCCCGTTTAGAAGAAATACAGCCAGCTGAAACAAGAGAAGATTCTTCGTCTTCATCATCTTACGACGAGTCTCCCACTTATGTTTCGATGATGGGATCTGAAATCGAGGTTCTGGAATCGACTGCGGGAACTGAGTCTATGACGCAATCTGATTACGTAATGACAGCAAGTTTGGATGCTTCAGTGTCAAATGAAATAGCTGAAGAAAGTGCTGGGCAATCTAGAGGTGGAGCTACGAACGAGGAGCTTGCTGAAGTTGTTGAGCTGATTGACTCGTTTATAAAACCAATCTCAGAGCAGAACGCAGCAGATGGAATCGAGGTAAGCTACTACATTTTTCTTCAAACTTCATTTATCAACTGCTCCTACGGAAATTTATAGTGCAGCTGACCTAAAGACGAGGAGCTCTTGTCAATATATCCAATAAATTTAAGATACCTATCCGCATTAAGATATACATCTTATTTCATAATCAATATATTGAAATGGTGATCATTTTAAATACGCAGTATGCTCTGAGTGTAGAGTCATGTCATAAAGTTCTGTCATATTCTAGGTGATCGACGTAGACGAATCGAATTATTTTCCAAATCTTAACGGAGCTGGTGACCACGAGGCATTAGGAAGATCTCTCGATACCCTGCAATCACAACCCACAACAGTTGTCACGACATCGGGAGCTGCCAAATTAGAGGACCTAAGAGCATTCGATGAAGATGACAGTGACGATGATGAAGATTTCGAAGATGAAACACTTGCTGAAAGACTTTGGGGTTTGACTGAAATGTTTCCAGAAACAGTACGTAATGGGTCTTCAAAGATATTTGATTTTTCCATAGCATCTACAAAGTTTTGCTACACTTGGAGTCGCAAGACTCTTTGGGTTGTTACTACTGGGTTCATTATTCTGTACTTGCCAATTGCGATAGAAACAGAAAGAATGGCGATGGAAAAGGAAGGATTAAATCAAGCTCAAGACGTGCTATTGGGGGCTAATAAAAGTGAGGAAAAAAGTTTTGACCACTCAGCACCGCCGATGCCCAATGTTCCTCTTACTGCCTGATCTCAATGGAACACTAAAACATATTTTTGAAAAGATCTTAATAAGTTTCACCTTAAATCATGGTACCATCACCAGGTCTTGACTGCATAAGTATGAAAGACAAATAGTGTCAGTGAATACCAATCGGCTGACGTGAACTAGAATTGTCACTAGAGTTTGAAAAAGGTGAAATTTCTTGGGCTCTCTAATCTGTTTGTACTCCTCGTACTATGAAAAAATGAAATTTAGACTCTATGAACTTAAAAATTGCGAAATTGAATTTGATCTTGCACCTTTCTCTAGTAGTATACAAGTCCTTCAACTCTGATTGCGATTTTATGTAGCTATTGTAGTATGATGGTAATTTCAGTTAGTCGTATGGTTTGATCCGTGAAATTGAATAGCTATGCCTTCGTTCGCGGGAGATTTTAACCGAGTGGGTGACGCGAACTCGGGCCGAAGTACGACTCGACTGCTAATTTCGGTCATCCGGAAATTATCCGAACATAGTGGCGACGCTTCATTGCGAGAAGAGGAAAGGAGAAAACTCGAAGATAGTTATGGAGTTGTGGACGATAGATTGAAGAAAATAGTGCGTGCAAAACAAGATGGTCTTAATCGAACCGTTGATGACTTTCAAGCGATTTGCTCCAATGTTCACAAAGCATCATTAAGTGTTGCAAAAGTGAAACTGAATTTGGCAGCTTGTAAAGATCAAATTAAGTGCAAACGAGATGAATTGAAAAGATTGCATAATGAAGCGGCGGAGCAAAGTATGGTATTGGATATTTTCGAAAGAATCGACACAATTTCGAATACCTCGACCTTGATTTCATCTCTAATTGAGCAGAAAAAATACTCGAAAGCGGCAGAAATTGTGCAGAAAGTATCGAACGATTACCAAATGTTATCTGAAGTTGCAACCGTTTCGGGTATAACTTTACCCCTTGACATAAAAGAACATCTTTTTGGCAAAGTTGTATCTCAAATTCAATATGTACTCTATGAACAATCAGTGAATGGAACCAAAACACAACAAATGACTAAAACGAAGTCGCAAACTAGACAAGTCGGAGTGTTTACCCAGACACATCCAGATAAGGCCCGAAAAAGTGTCCTGTTTTCAACTGCCACCAAAAATGTTTCCAATGAAAGTTTCGAAGAAACTATAAACGAACTGGTGTTTTCGCTATCGGCGTTAAACATGCTTTCAGATGCATCTAAAGCTTTGCAAGCAAACTTCATGCAACAAGTGGAAAGAATATTCATTAGCAGTCAAACGCAGCTATCAAATTTCTACGGAAACACTGGAACGTCGGGCTTAAACCATGAAGAGCACAAGAAGCTGGTGTTTTCAGAATTATTTGAACTGATATTTGTGAAACTGGTTAAAATTGTAGACCGTAAGAATTTTTTCATCCAGAAAATGAACATAGCTATTTTGCAGTCGGCCAAAGGTTCATCATTCTCGATTAAAATGTATTCAATCGCCGATTTTCTGGAAACTTTCCAGCAAGCTGTTATTGAGATTCTATTTAAGTTTTTGGTCGAGTCTTCCAAAGATCACTCTATAAACTCGAACGCTGGAAAATTTTACCTGAACCCAGCTACGCCAAATTCCAAAATGCCGGCTTTGCAATCAAGTAACGAAACGAGTCGGAAACAGTACGTGTCTTTCGCTTCTTCATTAACGAAGCAAAAAGGAAATAACAAATCAAGACATAATTTATCAGAACCTGTGAGGAATGCTCAATCGTTGCCTTCGATTTCAGAGAGTGCTCAAAGAGAATCCCTAATTACTCCATCAATTATGAATATCACTTTGATTGACAAACCTTTGAACAAAATTTCGAAATATATTTGCGAACAACTTGCTTGCTCTAAAGAACAATGTAGTTTGTACGTCAGCAAAGAGAACCTCGTGAACAAAAACTTGTTCAACTATTTGAGCCAGAAGTTGAAACGAGTTCTAGAAGATTCTTTGCCAAAAGATGGAATCGGAAGCATTGTTGATTCGAGGAGCACTTTGGCTAAGTTAGAATCTGACCAGGCTTTGAGTGACGCAACTATTGTAGTTCACGAGCAACTGACATATCTTGCAGACATATCAAAGAATATGCCGACGTTTAATACCAAGTTAGAAGAGTTAACGAGTCAGTTTTTAGGAGGGTTCTACAGTAGACTGCATCAAAAATACATTTCACTCTTATCAATACCGGACTCTGAAAGTCACGTGAGCACTGTATTGAAACTACTGGGAGCTAAGAACATGAAAAGTATTCTCAAAGAGACAAAGTCTTGGACTGAAATAGCAGCGAATTCAGGCGACGATTTAAACGGAGACGTGTTCACCACTGGAAACAATAATTTCATCGATTGGTCAGTTATCAATTCCCAAATTTTCGAAACTCTGGCTAACTTCGGCGGCCAGAAAAGTCTAAACAGTGTCATCACATCGAGCTCAGAAGCGTGCCAAGCAACATTTCAATCGTTGGCCATTATCAATGTCAGTATCAGCTGGCTATTTTGTCAAGATTATCAACACGTGGCAGCACAATTGGCATCAGGCAAAGGCGAAATCACCCGGACAATAGATGGTCTTGAAACTGTTTCTGAAACCTGTCTTCTAGCTTGCAATTTGGAGCTGAAAGTGGCATCCTTCTGTTTTCTATCCCAACTTTTCGAAGGTTCAAAAAGCTCATCATTTAGTGCACAGTCTTCAATTGAAGTTCACAGTAAAGTCAAAGAATTAATTCGAGTGATATACGAAGCGGAAATGATTTTTACAAGGTTCTTTGGTACAAAGAAGTTTGATTTCGTTTTCGATGGTTTGCCGCATTTTATTGAAAAATTATGCATCTCGAGCGTCGACAAATGCAGCGAATTGTCATCATCTAGTAGCAATTTTATTGACAGATTTCTGCTTGACGTTGCAGAATTAAAAAGGGCCTTCAGAAATATCTCGCACATGCAAAATGTAAGGGTGAATAATTTCGATAGTATTTTGTCGTACTTTGAGCTGTTAAAGTACCCGCCGAATGACTTAGTTCGAGTGTCCCTAGAAAACGAAGTCCAATTTAACGAGAAAGAATGGATTGCGGTTCTCGTAGTTTCAGCGAAAAAGTTCAACAAATTCTTAGATGTTTCTGGCAAAGTAGATCTGGGTTCACCAGATTTGGCACATCTGGTCAAAAATCTCAGCCCTGTTACGAAACAGGAATTAACTAATTCTCCCACTGTCCCGAATGGAGTAATTTCCAGTCTATGAGTGCTAATTTATAAATTGTTCATTCTAGAAACAACTTGTATTAGTTTATAAAAGAGGTGCGTGATCCAATTTTTGGTAAAATTTTATAAGTCCTATTCAATCCACTATTGCAAATTAAGGTTGAAAAATAATTAGTGCCAAGATCTGATTGTATGTTAACTGGGATAACACAGGTTTTTTTTGTGTTATGATTTCAATAGTTCTCGTCAATGGATTCTACACTGCTAATCACTGGTTTTTAGCCTTTCATTGGAATCTTGAATTATGTATTTCACGGGGACTGGTTACAGCATCTTATGTATTTGCCGCTGCGTTATAATTTCTGGTGCAGTTTTTACTTTTCTCAAGATTTTATTCACGAATCCAAGTGAGCACGGTTTCAAGTTTACGAATTGATTCGCAGTATTCCAGAAAAATTGCAGGTGACCATTTTAGGCCCAGTGTTATGTCTAGACCGAGCAAAGGTGGATGCAAGCACGACAAGACAGTCGAGGCTTTTCGCTGATAAGAATGAGAAATGAACGAAAAAAATTGTGCCGTCTAATTCCATGGTTTTTTATTCGCGATAAGCAAGGATATTGAAACCGAGTACCGGACATTTTTTTCAGTAAAAATTTTAACAGGCGCAAAGGCAGCGTCCATGGTATGGGTGACAAGGGCTCAAATCCGGCCGTGAACTAATTTTGTAAACATAAATTTTCCTGCTGCAATGATAATTGTCTGTTTCACTTGTCTCATGTTTTTTTTTTTTATAACGGCACGAAGTTATTTCATGAATAAAGCAATCTCTTCTTAATATAAAGTTCAACTACTTACCCGGTGCCGCTGAAGCTGCATTTTTTCTAATAAACCTAAAAAAATTAAACATGACGACCAAGACAACTCTTCTTTACTTGAGTTCAGCATGTTTTTTTTTAGCTTTCAACCAAATTGAGCGCAAATATTTTATTGAGAGCTTGTGTTTTAGAAAGCTTAAGACATGTTTCAAAGCTTTTGTAAATTAGAAAAAGGTTATAGCCGCTAAATTAGAGTCTAGTTTTTGCTATATCTTCTTTCAAATTGTTAAGCTATTTGCTGTCTTCTTTCAAACTGTTTGATGCACGCTTAAATACTTAATAAATTTCGTTTAAATATAATCATATAACCTTTTGTAAAACTGTTCCAATATTTTCATAATTTGATCTACTAATCAGTTAATATACAAAGCAATTTTCCCTTTTTTTTCAAACTATTGAAAACTTTATTGGGAGATCATACAAAAAACTGGTTAACTTTTACTTTGCTACTACCTCACTATCCGGCACTTGATTACACTGATAAAAGATTTCGCACAATCAATGATTGTTTGTTTCAAAACAATTAACTTCTCGCGTCAAAGAGACAAAAGACACATCGAATAGTTTTAATTGTGCAAAAATGTTCAAAAGAATTACAAACTGTTCAATTAAGTTTATAAATTTGTTGGCTTATATTGGAGACATGTATAACAATAGTGTCTACAAAGAATATATATTTTTTTCGTTTTGATTTTGCCTTCATCATTCTGTACAAAGAATTTGATTTTACTGTTCTTTTTAATTTTGATGTAGCAACATACAGTTGTCGCTGAGTAGAGACAATATCTCAAAGCCACAACGAGATTTCTTTCCTGACTTTTGTTGATTGTTAGGGCAAAAGCTGGCTTCAGAGGAAACTGCTCTCTCCCTAAATTGAATGGAACTGTTTCACTCTCCGCGACAATAAAGCTAATCCGAGGATTATAGTGGAGCTCCTTACTGTTGATCTTACAGGCGATAATTAAGATTTACCGATAATATTCACAACGATGCAGCGAACTCGTTGAAGAGACCATTTTTGGGATCAATGTTTCCTTTGAGCATAATCGGCATCCTAACTTGCAAGGTTAGTTGATGGTCAGATAAGCCTGCTACTTCGAGGGAGTGGAGAAATATGAACGGATATCTGCATTGATCATCAGTGGTGCGAGCAATGTCTGCGCTCTAGCTTTCGATGGCGGTATCTTATCACTTTATAAATTAACTTAACGAGTAATACAGCTGGAGTTTAACATTTTGGAAACTGTTGGCAGCTTTACGTATAAACACGAGTCGTTGATTTCTGAACGGTTCTTATTGCCTTCGACAGCTCTTGTTGCTCACAATCCTCAAAGAAGTTTGTCTGCTTGGGAAATTTTTTAAAAAGAAAAAAATGAACAGCGATTACCTCGAAACCATTGAAAACACGATCGACTGCTTCCTTGGGTATGAAATTGTTATAATGTCGTTGTTTTCTGATGATAGAGCCACTAAATTGTCCTTCAATTGATTTCGATCCCCAACAGACAAAGGCCAACTATCGTAATCCATGGCATCTGATGCATTCTGAGCTCCTTTCATCCGCATGCTCTTTTCAAGTGAGAACGAAATATAATGCGACCAGTAAATTTCTTAGGGCAAAACGAAATAGTGTCCCGATCATTTCTTAATTTTACAACGAGAAGGATTTGTCTAAAACAAAATTATGATATAAAACCACCTGATGGAAATTTTGAACAATAGTTTCGTGCTTTTTATCAGTCTCTCATCTAAAACCACCAGCCAGCACGATAGAGTTACATCCGAAAATGACATCAGCATCCTTTCTGTCTCTAAATGACCTATCAAAGGCTCCTAGTGAAAAGCGGTGAATCATAGATGCTTCTACCCAAACAACAACTTTGGCGGAGTTGATTCCTGTGATGAGTTATATTCAAAGAGTATGCCTCCTGTATCTGAAGTGGAATTTTAAATCGAGAATGCTTGTTGAGTGGCGGGGATGATTTCTGCCATGTCTCCTTGGGACGAGACGTCCAGCAGGCAGATATTCCTCAGACTCGTCCAGGTCTACCAGCGATTGCTTTCTTTAGCTCTTCAGAGGATTTTTGTCACTTCACGGGAAAGCCTCAAAAATTTTCCGCATCTGAAAGTCGGGATCGTTTTTCAGTGAATGTATAATATCCTGGAGAGATCGCATAATTAAGGTCGTTGCTCGCACTGACAAAAATGTTAAAAACTATCTTGAGTCCATTTACGGTTCATACTACTGGGGGCATTCCACTCGAATTCAAAAGTGTGCGAAAGACGCATCATCAGCAGAAATTTTGGAAAAAATAGCTAGAATGTAAGTAAAAATAGCTGGCAATGGTAATTTCAAAAAAAATTAATTGGCACTAAAAAGAAGATAGTAGAAAACTAAGATGAAAAAGATCCAATAAAAAATATCAAGTTAGAGTGGAAAGATATATTGAAAATACAGTAGAGAAAGATAAGTGACAAAATAGATCGAAAAGATAGACCAGAGATTTGGTAAAAAGAATTGATTAATAGCAAGAGTTGAAAAAGAAAATAAAAGATGTTTTGAAAAGGTAGAAAATAAAGGTAGATAAAAAAATTTGATAAGAAAGAAAAAGATATGCAAAAAATTGGTTAGAAAACTATTTCAAAATTAAAGATAGAAAGAAAGATAAGCAAAAGAGTTACGTAATAACGAGAGACCTATAAGATAGAATAAAAAGACAAGAAAAAATACTTGAAGAAATAGATAGTTACACATAAAACACGAAAATTTTGCTTCTGTTTTCTAACTCTTAGTTTCTAAGCTTACAAATTTTTGGTCAAAGATCCCCGAAATAAGAAAAACAATTCTTTGAAAACTACGAATTAAACTCTAAGTTTGATTTAAATTACAAAACTTTATGACAACATCATTAAAATCGCTTCAATTACAAAGAAACCGAACCTTTAGGTTAACGGCTCAATGAACGCATTTTCTGTCTTCATTATCTTACTCTGACGATTTATCAGATATCTGCCCTTCACTTCTTTCATCTTGAGTTGACTCATTGCGTTTTTAGACATCGTTGTTTTTGTTGATTTTGTGAGATAGTGCTTCGAAGCTCTTTTTTCTTGGAAATTTGACACTTCGACGACGGATTTGTTTTTTTTGCCGTCTTTGCGTCTAGATCCCTGTCTTCTTCAAGTGGTGTGCCATTTTAGCTAGGCTGGCTCGAAAAAGCTTGTTTTGTCAGTGTGCATGCTTGTCTTGATTCTACAGGTTAAAAACTCAAGTCCGTAGGTGTCTGCCTTTTTTTTCAGTTCCTTCCGTGATCAATACGTCAGGATTCACTGTCTCTGGATTAACCGGCTCTGGAATCATTGCCTTCAGATTCACTGCCTCTGTATTCGATTTCTCTTGATTCAATACCTCGGGACCATGACCATGAGATGCTGGTGGTTACTTGCAGCTGGCATGGAACAGTGGAATTCGGATTCTCTTCAGAGGAATCTGCTTTCACCACTGCGCTGAAATTTAACTGTATTATTTGAACGTGTAATATTACTAAGCCAAGCAGGGAAATAGATTCTGGTTATACTTACTCGATGGCCCAGCGAAAGCTTCGCTTGTTGAGTGCCGGGGCTTGTTGAGTGCCGGGGATGAGTTCTGCTATGTTTCATTTGCACGAGACGTCCAGCTGGTAGATCGTCCTCAAACTCCTCCAGGTCCACAGTGATTGCAATCGCTGAATGTTGGACTTGATGTTGTAAGCAATATCTTTTTAATCTGCAGATGGGAGTTTAAGAAGCCTCGTCACTCTGTTTGTTGGCATGTTTCTTTAGCTCTTCCACCGACGCTTTTTTCTCACTTCGCGGCAAAGCCGGGCAAACTTTCCGCTATCTTCTTTCAAACTGTTTGATGCACGCTTACATAACTAATAATAATGCTTTAGATCTTCTTCCATAAAATTTTGGAAATTTGTTTCGATAAATTCATTATTTGATCCAATCAAATAATCTACCCTGGATTTTTCCCATTTCTTTTCAAACTATTGAAATCTTTACTGAGAGATCTAATATTAAACTTGTTAACTTTTACTTTATCGTTATCTAACTAAATGACACTTGATTGCACTGATAAAAGATTTCGTACAATCAATGACTGTTTGTTTCAGAACGATTATTTTCTCGCGTCAAAGAGACAATAGACACATCGAATAACTTTAATTGTGCAAAAATGTTCAGAAGAATTGCAAACTGTTCAATTAAGTTCATATCTTTGTTGGCTTATATTGGAGACATGTATAACAATAGCGTATCTTTATAAAGATTATTATTTTTTTAAAATTTGAGATTGCCTTCGTCATTTCGCAGGAAGAATTTGTTATTACTCTATTTTTAAGATGCAGCAATATACAGTTGGCGGTGGGAAGATACAATATCCCAAAGTCACGCCAAGGTTTCTGCCCTGACTTTTGTTCATTGTTTAGGCGAAAGCTGGCTTCACAGAAACTGTTTTCTCCCTAACTTGAATGGAACTGTTTCACTCTCGTCGACAATAAGGCTAATCCGAGGAATATAGTGGGGCTCCTTACTGCTGAGCTTGCAAGGTTAGTTGATGGTCAGATAAGCCTGCAACTTCGAGTGAGTGAAAAAATACGAATGGGTATCTGCATTGATCATCAGTGGTGCGAGCACTGTCTGCGCTATAGCATTCGATGGAGGTATCTTATCACTTTATAAATAAACTTAACGAGTAATACAGCTGGAGTTTAACATTTTGGAAACTGTTGGCAGCTGTACGTATTAAAACAAGTCGTTGATTTATGAACGGTCGTTATTGCCTTCGACAGCTCTTGTTGCTCACACTGCTCAAAGAAGTTTATCTATTTGGGAAATTTTTTAAAAGGAAAAAAATGAACAGCGATTACCTCGAAACCATTGCAAACACAATCGACTGCTTTTTAAGGTATGAAATTCTTATGTCGTTGTTTTGTGATGATGGAGTTGATTCCTGTGATGGAGTATATTCAAAGAGTATGCCTCCTGTATCTGAAGTGGAATTTTAAATTGAGATTGCTTTTTGAGTGCCGGGGATGATTTCTGCTATGTCTCCTTCGAACGAGATGTCCAGCAGGCAGATCGTCCTCAGACTTCTCAAGATCTACCAATTGCAATCGCGGGAT